GCCTCGGCCTCCCAGAGTGCTAGGATTACAGGCGTGAGTCACCGTGCCCAGCCTGTCCCTTCTTTTTTGAAGATTTCTGTGGGTAGAGATCTTCTCAAAAGGCTTATTCTGCCCCTTGTTTTTCTTATATAAAATGATCATGTAGAAATATATTTGAATGTTAATTTCAATAAGATTAGTCTACTCCTTCCCTGAGACAGGAAAAGCTAATCCTTTATTCCATTTCCTTCTCCCACTCCCTGCCATTCAGGCATTGGTGTTGGTAGTTGGTATTTGAAAGGAATTAGTTTTTCCCTCAATATTAATTTTAGCTGAAGATATTCTAGGTCCTGAGTAAAAAAGTTTATAAGGTTTAAACTATAAAAATCTTTAGCTACTGTACATGTTCTAAACATGTGGGAAAAATTTATTATCTTCAAAACATTAGATTTTAATGGTTCTTGATATTTCATTCTATTCTGACTATGGCCTGCCTCCCTCTCTCTCTCTCTCTCTCTCTCTCTCTCTCTCCTTCTCTCCCTCCCCCAAATCTCATGTGCAGGTTTTCTCTTTAGAGTAATTTATCTTTCAGTGATGAGAATGAATTGATAATTTGCTATGGTAAGGACACATATTCACGGAAAGAATAGTTTAATTCTTATTATTCCTTCACATAGCAGTATACTACTAGTCTAATTAAAAAGAAAGGTTCTTGTTTCCTTCTAGAATCACAGAACATTTAAATATGTCTTCTTGTAGGTAACTTTTAGGAATGCCAAATGCTGAATAATACATAGTTTCATTTCTTTTCCTTGGCTCAGACCATTTCATTGTACCCCAAAAGTGGTACTATATAGCAACAGTGTGTGCATTTTTTGAAAATCAGTCTGAAAACATAATGTCACTTACCAAACACAATAACAAGACCAAAATCCATATATTGCTTTTCTTAAGCTAGGATAGATCCAATCCTTTTACTAGAAGATATAAAGTAGTAAAACATTTTATTAACTCAAACATGAGAGTATATTACTGTAAGACTTGATCAAACTGTTCAAAAGAGCAGGAGAGGACAAAGCAGGAGAGGAGCTTTTGGTTGATTGAGTAAATTCAAGCAAACTTTTGATTTATTACCTATGGCAGAATTGACTTTTTCCTATCCCCTCACTGCCCTTCAAAAAAACAAAAGAAAACAAAAAAACAAAAAAGAAAGAAAATGATCATGATTCTGTAAGAAATTGTTTTCAATGTTTAGAGACTACTATAAAACAATCTTTTGAGAAGCAATAAACATGAATGAGAGGCCAAACTTTGAATTTATTTTCCTTCAATGGGCTTTTGCCAAGGCATTGCTTGGCAATGCACCTGGGAAGGCAAAAGGAAAAATAGCTGCTTTCACCTTTCTGTAGGCTCAGTAATGATTTGGGAAGATGAGACAAATGTTAACCATTATAGAGTTTGTGTCATATATAAGAGGAAATAATTTTATTTATTCAAACATAGGACTAGATTCTCCATCTTTTAAAATTGAATTAAGGCTGGGTATGGTGGCTCACGCTTGTAATCCTAGCACTATAGAAGGCTGAGGCAGGAGGATTGCTTGAGCTCAAGAGTTGGAGACCAGCCTGAGCAAAAGTGAGACCGACCCTGTCTCTACTAAAAATTGAAAAAGTAGCTGGGCATCATGGTGCACACCTGTAGTCCCAGCTACTCAGGAGGCTGAGGCAGGAGGCTCTCTTGATCCTAGGAGTCTGAGGCTGCAGTGAGCTACAACGATGCCATTGTACTATACCCAGGGTGACAGAGTGAGACTGTCTCAAAAAAACAACAAAAAAAGAAATTGAATCCCCCTCCTCACTACCCCCTTCATATAAAAATAAATTAAAAAAACAATTAAAATTCCTGCACTTAAAGTTTAGAGCTTGGTAAAGCTTATGATCTTTATGATGAAATGCAACATAACAATATATTCTATATTTCTTTTTTCAGTTATAGGTGATGCAACTTGCAAAACATTCCTGGTACATGAAACAAGAAGAACAATATTTAAATGTAATATAATCATTGTACCTCTTTATCCAACAAAGTGGCTTCATTCTACTCTCTTTTATATGTTCTAATATCTTACATCTAATATCAAGTAAATCAAAGTGTGTAGGAGGAAATATGTTTTTTTATAGTTATTGTTCTTTGCAATGGGAGTGCTAAGGTTCAAGAACATCTTTTTCAGGCACTTTGTTGGGTCCAGTGGAGTATCCCAGACAGTGTTCACCTTCCTTCTGATTCCATGTTGCTTGGCTCTGGATTTCAGAGCACCCCCTCTTATCCCAGATGTGCCTTTCCTCTGGGCCTGGAATGCCCCAACTGAGCTTTGTATTGCAGGGGTTGATGGGCCACTAGATCTGAGCCTCTTCTCTTTAGTAGGAAGCCCCCGAGAAAATATCACAGGACAAAATATTACAATATTTTATGTTGATAGGCTTGGATACTATCCTTATTTAGATATGACAGGCAGACCTATGAATGGAGGAATTCCCCAGAAGGCATCCTTACAAAAGCATCTGGACAAAGCCAAGAAAGACATTGTCTATTACATGCCAACAGATGATACGGGGTTGGCTGTCATTGACTGGAAAGAATGGAGGCCCACTTGGGCAAGAAACTGGAAACCTAAACATGTTTACAGGAATCAGTCTATTGAGTTGGTCCTGCAACAAAATACACAGCTTAATGACACAGAGGCTACCAACATAGCCACGGTTGAATTTGAAAAAGCAGCAAAGGATTTCATGCAAGAGACTTTAAAACTGGGAAAATTACTTCGGCCACATCGCTTATGGGGTTATTATCTTTTCCCTGATTGTTACAACTATAATTATAATCAACGCAGTTTCACTGGAAGTTGCTTTGATATAGAGAAAAGAAGAAATGATAATCTTGACTGGTTGTGGAACGAAAGCACTGCCCTTTTCCCATCTATTTATTTGAGTACCAGTCTGTCTCCTCCACAAGTTGTGCTCTATGTACGTAATCGAATTTATGAAGCCGTTAGGATTTCCAAATATCCTGATATTGGAAAGCCACTTCCAGTTTTTGTATATGCTCGCCCAGTTTTTACTGATCTAGTTTTGAAATACCTTTCTCAGGTAAGTAAATCGAGTTATGAGGACAATGAAATAGTGTGCACAAAAATTGTTCTGTGAAATTTCATATTATTTTTGAAGGGAGTGAAATTTAGCTTTTAGTGTCATTTAGCAATGTGCACACTAGTAGTTTTACATCATTAAATGAATGTAAAATAAATATATGTTTAATCTTTAATGTAATCTCATGATCTCTTAGCAAGCATGGAGAATTAGGTAGTATAGACAGTGTATTAACTCACTTTCTGTTTTTTCTTTCAGAGGCCTGCTATCTTGTCAATAGAAGTAATTAAAACAATAGTAGTCTCTATTTTTTATAGTAAGGCAATGGCTGTGTAAAAGGTAGAAATAATGGAGAAATATTTAAATTACTGTTATTGGGTCAGCATGCTTATCTTTGGTGTTAATGTCCTAAATATAACACTTTTATTTTTATCTGCTAACTTTTTCTATCATGTTTGCCAGGATGACCTTGTGAATACACTTGGTGAAAGTATTGCTCTGGGTGCCTCTGGAGTTGTAATATGGGGAGGCCTTAGTTTACTGCGAAGTGTGGTAAGTGAATTGGCAGGAAATAGATGAAAATATTTCTACCTTTAATATTTTTGAGGATTGTTTTGGTATTAAACAAGAAAATAAGTAGTTCTATACAAGGCATATAGCAGTAGATGCTCAATTAATACTGGCTGAATCAAAATATCTTGCACTTGTTTGGTTGTTATAAAGCAGGATATATTATAACAGTTTTCCATTGGGGAAACAGAAATTCAGTGAGATTAACTGAATTTCTATAGGCTACATAGTAGCAAAAACAAGATTATGATATCGGTTTTCTTACATGGTGAGTTATTAAGACTCTCTTCCCTTATTTTTATTCTTGTTTCACTCACCATATCAGGTGTCTTTATTCCTCCACCTCTTCAATCCTCTTGACGCAGTGTAAGAGTAAATCTGTCAAATGGTCACTGATACATTGGAGCTGAACTTTTCTTTCTCTGATGGATGTGGAAATTCTAATGATGAACATGCCATGGAAACTGTCAATTGAAGCTCATTGCCCAGGGGTCTTACACTAGGACGTGTAGAGATGAGACTTTATACTCTAAGACCACAAGAGACCTTTTGAGAAGGAATATATTCATATCTTGTCTTTCAGATAGAATATTCTCACTTTATTCAAAAATACTTAAGAGCAGTTACATTTGTGAAATTCTTTCAAGGTAATCTGAGTCCTTCTACCTATTTTGAATAATTCTAATGTCTCTAGTTTGATCTTTAAGAAAGAGAAACAACAGAAAATATAAGTTCAGAGAAAGGTGTGTGTCCCTTGGTAAAATCTTTTATATGTCAGAAAATTATTTTAAAACTATAATTCTACTAAATAGATTCCTGATTTTTATTAGTTTTCTCAAATTCATAAACTACTTTATCAAGGATTCTATTATTTAAAAATTTATAGATATTTATAAAATCTCCATTTTCTTTTCAGTCTTTTAAAGAAAACTGAGAGCTTTGTCCTTACTCTGAGGAAGAATGAATGAGACATTCTTCAAAGAGTAGCTTAACGTGACATACCATTTAAGTGTCAAACATGTTTTTTAATTGCACTTTAATCTTAGATTCACATTCTACTACCATTCCTCCTAAATCATCTTCAGTATTATTCATACCAGGTACAGTCCTTCAACTTTAATATGACATTTAAAAACAAGAAGTGATAAGTTTCTCCTGATAAGAAGCAATCAATGCAAGACCTCTGGCAGTAGGAAAAAACAAAGTATAACACCCCCTTTCCCCCATTGAAGGATCACACCAATTCTCTAACAATGGATTCCAACAAAAATAAAAATACTGCAATGAAAGATTGTGAATTCAAAATAGGAATTGTAAGGAAGCTCAATGAGAGCCAAGAAAAATGGAAAACCAACTGAAGGAAACCAGAAAATTAATTCAGGACATGAATGAAAAATTTTAAAAAGAGATAGATATATTTTTTAAAAACCTAAATAGAACTTCTAGAAATGAAAAATTAACTTTTCGAAGAAGACACGGCCGCAGGTGCAGCGGAGCCTTGCTGTGCCCGCTTCTGCTCCTCACTCAGCGCTGTTCGCTCTCGGCGAGGAACAAGTCCGTCAGGAAGCTGCGCTGCAGCCATGGCTTTTAAAGATCGGAAAAACACCCGGGGAGCCGGAGGTGGCAATTCACCGAATAAGAATTACTCTAACCAGCCGCAACGTAAAGTCCTTGGAAAAGGTGTGTGCTGACTTGATCAGAGGCGCAAAGGAAAAGAACCTCAAAGCGAATGGACCAGTTCGGATGCCTACCAAGTCTTTGAGAATCACTACAAGAAAAACTCCTTGTAGTGAAGGTTCTAAGACTTGGGACCGTTTCCAGATGAGAATCCACAAGCGACTCATTGACTTGCATAGTCCTTCTGAGATTGTTAAGCAGATTACTTCTATCAGTATTGAGCCAGGAGTGGAGGTTGAAGTCACTATTGCAGATGCTTAAGTTAACTGTTTTAATAAATTGATTACCAGTTGTTAAAAAAAAAAAAAGAAATGAAAAGAAATCATTTAGGAACATATTAAACATGGTGGAAAATTTTAACAATAGACTACACCAAGCAGAAGAAAGAATTTCAAAGCTTGAAGACCAGTCTTTTGAATTAACGCAGTCAGGCAAAAATAAAACAAAGAAAGGAATTGAACAAAGTTTCTGAAAAATAATGGAATTATGTATAATGCCCAAATGACAATTGTAAGTATTCCTGAAGGAGATCAAAAAGTAAAAAGCTTAGAAAACCTATGTGAGGAATTATTTGAGGAAAACTTCCCTGGTATTGCTAGAGATTTGGACATCCAGATACAAGAAAGTCAATGAACTCCTAGGAGTTTCATTTCAAAAAGGACATCACCAAGGCACATAGTCATCAGACAGGCCAATGTCAATGTGTAGGAGGAATTCCTAGGAGCTCTGAGACAAATATATCAAGTAAATCCATTAGAATAACAGTTGACTTCTTAACTGAAATTTTACAAATCACAAGGGATTGGTGTGCTATCTTTAGTATTCTTAAAAATAGTGTCAGCCAAGAATTTTGCAAAACTTAGTTTCATAATTGAAGAGAAAGTCTTTTCAAGACAAGCAAACACTCAGTAAATTTTCTACCACTAGGCTGGCCCTACAAGAAGTTCTCAAAAGTGATCTAAACATCATAAAGAATGGTTGATACTTACCAGTATAAAAACACTTGAAAGTAAAAACTCACAACTATTATAAAACTTTAACACAGAGGAGAATAAAAAGAAACTAGGTAGCAATCAACATGTTGACTGCAACAGTGTCCCGTATATCAATATTAACTTTGAATATAAATGGTCCAAATGCCCAATACAGATTGGTGGAATGGATAAACAAATGAAACTCAAACATATTCTGTCTCCAAGAATCCCATTTAATTTGTAAAGAGGTGGAAAAAATATTCCATGCAAACAGAATCCAAAAGTGAGCAAGGTATAGCTATTTTTTTTATTATTATTTCAGCATATTATGGGGGTACAGATGATTAGGTTACGTATGATGCCCTTGCCCCCCCTCCACCCCAAGTCTGAGCTTCAAGTGTGTCCAGCCCAGGGATGGTGTGCATTGCACTCTTTGTGTATGCGTATACCCGTCCCTTCGTCCCCCCTCCCACCTCCCCCCGCCCGACATCCAATAGATGTTATTCTTATATGTGCGCTTATGTGTTGATCAGTTAATACCAATTTGATAGTGAGTACATGTGGTGCTTGTTTTTCCATTCTTGGGATACTTCACTTAGTAGAATGTGTTCCAGCTCTATCCAGGAGTATACAAGAGGTGCTA